AAATATATTTCCCTTTACCAAGCAGGACTACATAGTGAAAGCCATTTACCTCTATTGATTTCTCATGTACGGTAGACAGCTTATAGTGCAGCAGCAGTATCACCACCTATTTGGAAAACATGGTTTCCAGAACACCGCTACCTACAAAAATATTTCCGGAGTATCGTAACCAAAAGATAGGAATTACTCATATGGAACAAAAGAAGGATTAATTTACCTTGGTTGCAACAGGCCCTTCTTCGTTGTATGTGAAGAAACACTTTCTCCACAATCTTGATGTGGTTAATTGGTTTACAGTTGTGCATTTTGAATATAGCTTGGCTTTGCTCGTTGGTTAATTTTTCTTCTTGATTTGGACATGTTTGAGCTTGATTCTGATTAATATTCCATGTTTAAGTCAGACTCTTGAGAATCCTGAGAAAAAGGAATTTGGGTGAAGTTTCCATGTTTAGGTTGGAAACATTTCTAGTTTTTATGAAAAAGAAAAAGAAAAAGAAAAAGGAGAAGTGGTGAAAGAGGACCAGAGAAGAGTTTAATTTGGATTTGATGAATTTTGGAGTGAAAAGGTTTCCAAATTTACAGCCATAGCTTTCTGTGTTGCAACTTTGTTACTGACTGAAATTTTCTCTTCAATTTCAATTTTTGTGGATACTTTGGTTTTAGGTAACATTTGGGAAAATTAGAGGGTAATTTTGGAAATGTAATGCTTTCCAACACAATTTCAATGCATGAAACATATTTTCATAATAAGTTAATTCAATTCCTCAAAAGGGTTGTTTGAATTGGGGGCAGGGGGAATACCTTTTGTATTTTTATCCCCTCCCTTCTAGTTGCATAGATGGTTGGAATCTTGATTGTTTGTGCCGGTATATCTCCTTCAAGAAGAGAGTTCATTATTAAGTATAAATGTGCGGTGAACATTAGCTTAGTGAGTAGAAATAACATTTTAATTCATTATCATTTATGATGCAACCTGTTCTTATGATCATTATGTCCAATTCATTTTAGAAAAGTTCTAAGAGAAGCGGCATCTGGAGGAAGAGATGCAGAACGTGTGAAGCTGAAATTGGAAATTAAAGTTGAGGTAAGGCAACTTTAAGTCTTAGTATTTACCTCAGATTGATTCATAATTCAATATTCATAATTTTGTTTTGTTTTCAGTGGCACATAAGAATTGTATTGTAAGTGTAGGGTTGATACAACTGTGGAAAGAGGTGATCAAGGGAATCTTAGTACTCTTTTCAACAGTTGAATGAAAAAGTTGATATTAGGGTTTATGAGAGACAAAAGAAGGGAAGAAGAGAGAGAAAAAGATTGAGAGAAATAATCAGTTGTGAAGGTTTTGTTGCCTCTTATTTATAAGAAACTGACATTATGAGCAATTACATTATTATCCTACACTATTAATAATCTAAAATAAAAACTCTTAATACTCCCCCTCAAGCTGGAATATCAAAGATGCACAGTTTGGAACAAAGATTATTAGAGACAGATTGAGCCAATGGTTTGGTAAGGCTGTTACTCAACTGATCACTAGATCTGATACCTATATCATGAAGTAGCGAATGAACTCACATCTCACATGCAGTATGAGCCATGGTCTGACGCTCAGCCTTTGCAATCGAACATTTAACTACATTATGTTTCTTATTGCACCAAGTCATGAGATTACTATCAATAAATGTAACAAAATTTTCATGAACCATGGAGTATACTTAAGGGCTTTGTCAGATTGAATAATTTTGGTACATATATCAAACTGAACTAGAATTTTGTTATAAAAGGTAGTAAAGACATTGGGCAATTCAGATCAGTCTTTCATAACAAATAACCAAGTCACATAAGAGAAATCATTCACAAATATTACAAAATATTGGAAACCAGAAATATTTTTGACTCATGCAGAACTCCAAATGTTTGTATAAACATGAAAAGGACTAAATTAACGACTTGAAGAGGTAGGAGAAAAAAAACTATGGTAATTGACAAGCGTCACATTCTAACACACAAGAGGAACTCAAACTAGGGATGACTTGATACAATTTCTCCAAAAAAGGATGACCTAGTCAAAAATGTCAGTAGAGAGGAGAGATAGTTACACTTGAGGTAGGAAAGCAACTTTTGCGATCCAAGTAATAAAGGCCATTGCACTCATGCTCCACACCAATCTCCTCTTTCGTATTGAGATCTTGAAATACACAAGAAGATGGAAAGAAGGTTATTGAACATTGTAAGGACTTGGTTAACTGAGTAGGACTAAAATCAGTAGTCCCATGTAATGGTTGAAAGGAACCATCAGCTAACACAATACGTGAGTTGGATGAACGAAAGTTAGAGAATATAGATAACATACCAGATATATGAGTACTAGTTCTTGAATCAATGATCTAAGCACAAGAGGAAGGCTGAGGAACCATATAGCCTGAGGTGCCTTCATTAGCAAAATTGGTAGTAGGAGCAGACAAACTTGAAGCATGTGAAGACCATTTATTTATTTATTTTTTTTGGGGGGGGGGTGAGGGATAGGGGAGGGGAACTTGAACCCTTGTGAAGACCATTTATGAATGAGTTGTTTAAGTTGAGAAGAAAGATCATCATGAGAGCCACTTGCTAAGTGTTACTTCAAATTTGCATAACCACTTGCTAAGTGTTACTTCAAATATAACATACCGCTTCCCTTCATTATTTTATTGTAAAGATTGCACATTGCATGTCGAATATTCCCTAACATGCTCCCTTTACTTCCATCCAATATCACGTTCTTTTTGTTTAGTTGATTCAATGGCCACATTTTCCCCCTTTGATGTCTTATTTACAATCCACACTTTTCATTGAATACAAATTCATCATATCATTATTTCAAATTAAATTAATACTGGTATAAAAGTTTTTTTTATTAATAATGTAAATGTACAATTTATAAGAAGAATTTATTATGTGTATGGTATTTATTGTTTGTTAGGAAATTTAATGCAAATGGATGGTGGGCTAATATTGTTTCCACATATTGTTAATTGAGAATTTTTAATATTATGTGTGGTGGGCGAATGTGATAGTTTGACAAACAATAAAAAGTAGATTAGTGCACTAATATGATGTTTTTTGGTAATCTGATAAATAATAGACGAATGCTAATAGATTCTACTAAAAAAGAAGAAAAAGGGAAACACAGAGAGAGAGAGAGAGAGAGGAGAAAAGCAGATGGCTATATCTCTGATCAGAGAAAAAAAAAGAGTAAAGGCTGAAGACACACAGATCTACAGAGAGGGGGTACTGGGTCAGTTATCTGGTGGACATTGGAGCTTGCAGGAGGGCTTGGGAAGGAGAGATGAAGGAGGAAAGGGGAAAAGCAGGAGTTTGAAAGAAAAAGCTGAGCTGAAATCTGGATGGGTTTGTTTCTGTATGTGGATGGTTTCCTCTGCTTGCAGTACTCTTGCATCGTATCCCTTCTCCCCCAACTCTTTCTTCACTCTGCTTTTTCTTCTCTCTATCTCTCTCCCTGTCCCTCAATTTCTTCAATTAATTTTGCTTGTTTTCCTTGCTGAAGATGGGACTTGGGAGTGGGATGATGGAATCCCTACTCTTTGCTGTCAAATCTGCTTCATTGTGTTCACCTTCTGTCTCTCTCCAATTATTTTTTGCTTGTTTTCCTGGCGGAAGATGGAAGTGAGCTCAACGAATCTCCCCTTTTCATAGACGAATATGCTTACTATGTAATCAATTGTGTTTGAACTGGCAACGTTTCAATGGAAACAGAATGAAACAATGTCGTTTTGACCAAAACAGAAGAATTCTCTTTTTGACCTCCCTATTTTGTGTCGGTTTTTCACGAAATCAGAAATGTTTGGTGCGTTTCGACTACTTCGACATGCCTTCTGGATCCTTGTGCATTATCACCTATAATTGCACAATCTGTAAGTATACAGAGGTTCATACTTGTTACGTTTGGATTTCGAGTTTTAAATAAATTACAAGTCTAAGGTAATGGTTTAGTAGTTTTCAGGTGGATACAAACTTTAGATTTTGTACCCATATTCTAAGGCTGTATAGCTTATCCTCATTTGTGAATTATATTTTAGGTGGTGGATTATGATAAGGAAGGGTCAGTTTTACGTATACGTGGGAAAAATATCCTGGAGAATGACCATGTAAAGGTATGTGTGATTTTATATCAATCTTATTTATATATTTATTCCCATCTAATGGTGCAATATATTAATCACTGTATCATTGCAGATAGGGGCTTTCCATACTCTTGAAATTGAGCTACACCGACCATTTGTGTTGAGAAAGGTATGATTCCTTTGTTAATTCTTTTAGCTGTACTAGCTAACATCTTATCCTTTTTCCATCCACTTCATGCATGCAATATGATGGGGTACAAAATGTTTCAAATGGGATTTATATTTTGTTGATTTCTTTGTTTGAATGATGCCAGATTTGGATTTATTTGCTGCTATTTATCTATTATAAGCAACGCCTTGCAACTAGAAAATTAGACCATGAAGTGTATCCATATTAGCTCTATGATAGCTTGCCCCTTTTCTAACTATGTTTTTTTTTGCCTATCAACACTGACTGATGTAACAGATATTTTTTTTTTAATTTTTTTTTTTCGGGAGGGGAGGAGGAAGGGGGACTTGAACTCTTGACTTCAAGAAGGCAAAGCCTTTACAAGGCAAGGAGTACCATTGGACCAAAGGCCCATTGGTACTGATGTAACAGATATGCTTGCTCTTTTCTTCAGAAAAGGTCAGATACGTTGAGTTCAACTGAAATCTGGAGTCTGAGATATTAATTTGTTTCAAAAAATGATTTTTTGGGGAGTATAATTCCCCTTCATATATGTTCACTTTATCCTGAACATAGTAATTTGAACGTGAACAGCTTATATTTCCCTATCAAGTGAAGTCTCAGTTCCAGATTAATCTGGGTGAAAATAATTATGTGTGTGAGGCATTTCTAAGCTAGGTTCTTCCTAGCTCCACATGTTTTCACCCATTCTCTCATATTTCTTTTTTTGGGTGGGGTGTGGGTTGTGTTGGGTGGGAAGGAGAGAAGAGGATACACAGAAGGTGTGCGTATTTGCAGTTTTTACGGATGACTGGGCTTATGTGTGCTTTAGTGGTTTGAATTAATCAGTTGCCTTCTAACATTATTTCAAGGACATGATTTGTTGGGCTTTCTAATGAGAAGTCGGATGGTTGCTGAAGGTTTTTTTCTGAGTCATACTATGACATTGGTTGGGTGAAATGACCTCCACTGTGGGAGGATGATATCACAGATACGTCAAGTGAGGAAGGTGATTTGATTTTTCATTCTCCCTTATTAACTATCCTGGAGTTTCTAGGGACTCTAGATTCTCTAGCTAAATGTGGCTGTGGATGGATCACTTCTTCAACTCTGTAGCCAGTTAGTTGAACCCAAAAGTCTAAAACATTTGTCTAAAAAGAATTGCAGGAAAGTAAAATAATAAACGTTGATAACTTAAGGAAAATCAATGTTAGAGTGTTACTTTCCTGTTGCTCTAATTTCTTATGATATTACTTTCCTGTTATAACACATATTTTTCTACTTTTCTATTATGTGGTTTTCCTATTATGTTCTACTTTTCTAATATTGTAATTGTTTTCAATATCAATCTAACATAAATAGGTGATTGGGGTTGACAACACACACTCTACACATAATATTGTTTCATAATCTCTTTTTTCCTTCTTTTTTTTCTTCTTCTCTTTCTTCCTTTACTCTAACATATGGTTATTCAAGCTGCAATATGGTATTAGAGCAAGACACTTGGTTGAGTGGGGCTTGGCCCTAGGCGATCGCCTCACTCACCTAGTGTTTGGTGTGACCCAGCACACATAAAGTTGTAATTGTCTACATTTGTTTATTGGGTGTTGTGATTATTATCGATCATTGTGGGGTGCTTGAATCTATATCCGTATCAGTATCCGTATCCATGTCTTTAGTATCTTATCATTGGTGCATATTTTACATTTTTCAGTTTGGTTTAGTGATTTTCGGCCTAATTTGGTATTGGTTTAGTGGTTTTCAGTCTGGATCCGGTTCAGTGTTTTTAGCTCGATTTAGGGCCGATTCAGTTATCTTTGGCTTGGTTTGGTGTTGGTTTAGTGAATTTCATCCCAGTTTAGTGTTGTCAATTTGTTTTAGTGCCAATTTAGTGGTTTTCAACACAGTTTGGTGCTTGTTTAGTGATTTTCATTCCGGTTTAGTGTTTTTAACTCGATTTAGTGTCAGTTAAGTGGTATTCAACCCAATTTGATGTTGTTAGTGGTTTTCACCCCGGTTCAATTCCAGTTAAAAATGTTTTTAATTTGGTTTAGTGTCGGTCCAATGGTTTTCAACACAATTTGGTGGTAGTTTTGTGGTTTCATTCTGGTTTACTTCCAGCTTAATGTTTTCAACCTGGTTCAATGCTAATTTTGAATTCTTCATCTCGATTCAATATTGGTTTTGTGGTTTTCAGCATCAATTCAGCCCTTTTTTGTCTAATTCAACTCCGATTCCGCTTAGTTTATGCTTTTTTTTTTTTTTAATTTTTGCGGTTTAATTTGTTGTTGGGTTGTGTTTCGTTGTGGTGTTGTTGGTTGTGTTCATTTGTGTCGGTATTGTTGTTGGTGGTGCAATTGTTGTAGTGTTTATCTTTTGCCATCACAAATGTTCTTTTTGTTGCCGTCACAAATGTTCTTTTCCTTTGTGTGATCATCATTGTCGTTTCCTGTTGCTAGTTTTGGTGTGTTCGTTAATTACATCTCTAGAAATCCAAAGGGATGCCTTAGATTTCACATGGAGCAATCCCTTGGATTCGTTGTTCAGGGGGAGTATCATGATTGTGTGTGTTGATTAAAGAAGCCCCTGAATGATCCAATGTAGCCACTTAGAGCTTTGTTTTATTATCCTTATTGTTTGCGTGTAGATATTGCAGCCAACTCAGTGATTTTCTCACCAAAATATTGGTGCGGTCCACCTTTTGGAGCCTTTATTCCAAGCTTGACATTGTTTATTTGTATGCTATAGCTTGTGGGAGAGTGTTGCTTCCTATTGTTCTACTTTCTTATGATTTTATTTTACTATTATGTCATTTACCTATTGTTTTACTTTCCTATTTTGTTTTCCTATTATATTCTACTTTCCTAATATTGTAATTCTCTTAAATATCAATTTAATATAAATAGGTGGTAGAATGTTGACGACACACACCCTATACACGATATTGTTTTATACTATCTTTCTTCCTTTCTTTTGTTTCTTTTCCTTAATCCTACCTGTATTATGTCATTTTTTTAATTAAGGGTATGATTGTAAGTTGTAGCTTATTATGAGATTAAGGTAAATTTCACCAATGATCCCTAAGGTTTGTCACTTGTTGAACTTTGGTCCTTAAAAGTTTTAATTTTATTAATTGGATCCTCGGAGTTCACATATTGGACTAATGTAGTTCTTTACCCTAACTGCTGTCTAAATCAATAACGAAAAATCATCACGTGCATAATGATTGCAATTAAGAACAATTTTGTCATTGTATAATGTAATATACTTAATAGTATATCTATATAATAAAACAAGTAGGAGTTTGAAAATTTATTCCCTTCATATTTTTTCCCCAAAAACATAACATCACTCATTTCTATTACATGTTCAATAATTTAATATTTAATTAATTTATAATTTAGCATAATTTTTATTTCAGATATTATCCATACCTGACAGTATATACATGTTGAGAAAAATTTGTTGAATTATGTATTTTGAGAAAATTGTCAATATTTTTAAGGAAATAATGGATAAAAATAAATTTTAAATAATATAATCAAATAAATGAAGGAAAGAAAAATTATTATATAGAGATATAGTATGTTCAATTTTTTGAGTGTTTGAATTTTATGTTCTATCGTGCCTTTAGGAATGAGTTATAACTAGTATATAGATATGATATCATACGTAATATTTATGTTTTTTCTCCCACTCCTTTCTCTCACTATTTGGGTGTGGCTGGGTCTCAACGCCAATACCACCAACCACGTTGCAGCCTACCACTGTGACCAACAATTCTATCTCACAAAGAGATTCTCTCTCTCTTTGGGTTTGATTATAGAGATTGTTGGACAATGGCAAAATTACCATTAATTGCAGTAGACGAGTTGCATTGGGTTTATAAGATTTTAGAAAGTAATTTTAGTGAAGACCCACTAAAACTATGGTGTCGAAGTCCAAGATATTGTAGTCTAAAATTAAGAGATCCTATTGTTATAATTAAGGGTTAAACCGATGATCTATACTAAACAGGATATAGATGAGTTTGATATTCAATTAAATTATTTGAATAATTTAGTGGAAACCCAGTCGCTAAATGTTCTGAAGAAGGCACTATAGAATTAGCACTCTTTAATAGAAACAAGGATCAAAATATTATTTTGAAACGGTCGAAACATCGAAAATGTTTCTGTTTTCAAGGAGACCAAAACGAATCAGTGATGAAATTAAAATTCTAATATTTTGAGGTGTTCCATAATGTTTTGAAATGTTTTGTTATATTTCAATATATTTGCACAATTATTTCGGAATGCTTCAAGATATTTTGGTATATTTCGACTAATGTTTTGAAAAAATAATTTTTTAATTTTTTTTCATTCTATTTTCGAAACGGATCGAAACGTTTCCGAAATATGTCAAAACATTTCTGTTTCCTAAGTGATCGAAACAATGCACCGAAACAAAATTTTGATTCTTAGATAGAAATGAAATCTAATTCTTATGATATGGCAATCCACTGGAAAATCATCTATGAACTAATAACGTTTTCACAAACTTCTACAAAGAATCTAAACAAAGAAATTGTAGAAATTTTTGAACCAAGAGCCTTTGACACGACAATAAAACCTCTATTAATTAATTGGAAAGTTTTAGAAATTCCAAGACAATGGATGATAAATAATTTAACTGAAGAACCATCAATAAGGATAGCAGATCCTATTGAAATGCAAATGAAATGCAAGTTTCAGGTAAAAATATGTATTTGAGAGATAAACGATCTCAAAGTACAAAATTAATAAGAACGTGCCCAAATTGGGTTTATAAAGATGATTGGGACAAATTTTCACAACTTTCTCTTAATGAACCTTATAAAGTAGAGTATGAAGAAACATCAAACTCTGACCCTATTGTTTATAAATCCATACAAATTCCTGTACTCCGAGGAACTGTGTACCTGAAAAGCAAGGAAGAAGAGGAATAGATAAATTCAACAAGATTTTATCATCTTCGTATAGGTCGCGAAGAAATTATCTTTTCACGAGGTAATGAAAAGAAAAGATATACATATGTTTTAGGAGAATTTAATTATGAAGGTTATAAGCTATATAGCCTTAGTGTATTAATTGATATTGACGCCACTACAAGTGTATGTAGATGGAATGTGCTACCTCCAGAAAAATGGATGAGTATGAAACGCCCTATGCTAGCTAAAGGCATAGATGGCAATGAAACATTAATCGGATTTAAAGCTAAAAAACTAGCAATCTAGTTAAATGGAAAACGATTTGTAATTCCAAAAATACTTTGTTTTCCATCAATGCATAGTGACTTTCTCCTTGGAAATAATTTCATTGATAATTATTTACCAATGCATATCTATCTAAAATCTATCGGACTAACCTTAGAAAAAGAGTTAGTTGATATTCCTTTAATCCCATAACACCTACCTAACCCTCTTTAAAGCTTTCAATTTTCTTGTAAAAAGATCCCAAGTCTTGTAAAAAGTCTGTCTCTTTGAGT